ACAGGAAATTGCAGTTTTGGTTATCAGGTCTCTCATTTTATTCTTGAGCTGTATGATTGATATCTTCACACAGATCTTCTGTCAATCTTGATTTAGCATTTGTGGCCCTGGGAACCTTTTCTCAGTTCAATTTAATATTGTATGAACAAACATGAAATTTATAAGACTGCCCATCTCAAATACATGACCCTGAGTGGCTAACAATTAAAAACAAAATAAGTAAGCAACAGAATTATAAATAACATAGATAGCAATTGAAAAACTGATCCACAACAACACCGATAAGCATCCCAGTTGGCACATCCCACACAATCATTGTTTCCTAGTAACCTCATGATTTGCCTTCATCTCATCCGCAACTCATCAATCCATCCATCCATCCATCCATCCATCCATCCATCCATCCATCCATCCATCCATCAATCAGAATAGAGCTGGAACGGACCTTAGAGGTGTTCTAGTCCAACCCCCTGCTCAAGCAGGAGACCCTATACCATTTCAGATAGGTCCAGGCTTTTTTTAAAAACCTCCAGTGATGAAGCACTTACAACTTGTCCCCACTGTTAGGAAGTTTCTCCTTAATTCCAGGTTGCTTCTCTCCTTGATTAGTTTCCGCCCATTGTTTCTTGTCTTGCCTTCTGGCGCTTTGGAAAATAATAATGATCATAATGACACACCTTAGAGTTTTCCTGAGTTTTAGTTTTCCTTTACAAGCAGTGAAGAAATCATGATGATTTTTTCCATAAATATGATTTCGTCATTTGGTTAACTTCTAGAGATGGGATACGCCAGGTGACTATTAATAATTTTTGGCTTTCTCTCTCTTTCTTTCCCACCTTCTGTGGGTGCCTGGGTAATGTTCTACACAGTCATTCTTTGGGCGGTGCAATTAGGCTCTTTTATACACTTATAACTCTTGGAAACAATTCCAATTGTAAAGTAGGAGAACCTCTCCTCTTTTCTTGGACAGTTAGTCAGTCAGACAGTGTTGCAATTAAGGGATAGTTTCCAACCAGTTGGTGACGGAAAGGGGGCAGAAAAACTAGATGGTTTGATCACTTAACATTCCTGCATATCCTGAATCAGGACATCCTCATCATCCAGTAGCAGGCCAGAATAAAGGTTTTAAAGGCAGGATTAAGGATTGGCAATATGGGTGTAGCAAATGTTATAACAGTATAATTTGCTGAAAAAGGTGTCTAGAGAGTGCCTTAACATGACAGTGTGGAAAGTCACTTTCGTGGAACAATATTACAGCAGAATAATAGGAAGAATTACTGAAATAATGTGAATGGAAAGATGTTGTATATGTATTTATTATTTGGTGTACTTTATTAAGATTATTTATTGAACAAAGTCCTGCAGATTTACTATAATGGGCCAGGAGGGCTTCAGGTTAGAAAACAATGGTTCTTGAGGCTGGAATTCTATTTTAAGAGTCTGAACAAATTCCTATAGTTGTCACTTCACCTGATTATTCTTTTTCATGATTTCCTTTGCTCCAGGGGATGCAGAACACATTGCAGAATCTATAATAAGTTATTCCAAGACAGCCTCCATGCTGATACCATGGATTTCAATTTCCAGACTTTCCCCTCCAGACTGTTTCTAACTAATATCCTCATTTTGCAACACCCCCAAGGGAATACTTTTACACTGTCCTTTCCTTCTGGGATTAACAGAAATTCAACTTATTAAAGGAAAACAATTTCTGAAACTGTCAGTGGTTTTCAGAACAAGTTTCTTTCCTGGTAGCAAAATTAAACAGTTGGTTAAAAAAAAATGTAATTTAATTCATTTCAATAGACACATAGTACTTTATGGTCTTCAGCCATCAACCAAAAGGTCTAAGAGAATTTTTTTTGTGTGTAATCTATCCTCAGAAAGCCCTGTATACTATTTAAATTTAAAGAGTAGGGAACCTATGGCAAAATATTATGTCCAATATTATGTGGTTTTTGTGCCATGTTGTAGATTCCAATAATTTTAACTTTGGCTCTGTCCAAAGTTGATTCTCACCCTGAAATATAGATCCAGCTGTTTTTATCAAATAATATGGATTTCTGCCTGGAAAAATTCTCCATTTGCATATTGAATTCAATGGCAAATGCAGAACAATTATACAGGTACGTATCTTTTTTGGCAGACAGGTTCATTTTCAGCCCTAAGGCTTGCCTGCCAGAAACCATCCACTGAATCTTTAAACTTTGTGTCTGCTTCCCCCCCCCCGTTATCTTACCCAACTGCCATTTCCCGCCCTTAATCATTTTATATAGTTTTTATTGGCCCTTTGAATCCAAAGTGTTACACAGTTAATTGTAAGCTGCTTCACTGTAATACTGAAGAGATTCCCAGGAAATAATAGAGGAGTGATAAAGATTTCAAATGTATTTGTAACTAAGATTAGCATGCTAATGCTAACATAAAAGCAAGTATAAAGTGTTGGTTACTTGTGTGGGGTGATCAGAAATGATCTACAACTGAAGATCTGCATTTTGGGGTTGGCATTGGGAATCAATATAAATGTCTTGGGAAATATAATTTATACTGCTTATGCAGTTTGTGAAATATGCAAATGAAAAGAGAGTGGACTATTTGTTAATATGCTTTTGGACTGCCAAATTCAATTTTGTAGAGGCATTCATTTAACAATTTATAAAGCATTGTCAAAACATGCTTTTATAAACTGCATTAGTTTTAGATTGATTAGTGAGGGAGATAGAATTATATTGAACAGACACGCAAAGATATTGCAAGAAATAACCAAAATTATTAATGTACCAATAAGTTTCCTAAATGATATTGTGCAAAAGAGACAGTTTATACAAAGCAGAAGTCATGTTTCATTAAACCCACTTATCTTCAAGAGGATTTATTCAGGATATTTTGAACATTACCATAGTCAAATTTAGGCTTGCAAGCTATGTTTGTATCAGAAAATTAGCCTTACAGGAGTTTTGACTTAATTCTTTACAAAAAGGCAATAGTACTTTTCAAATGTAAATAGGGCATACTGGACATATGGATTTCACTGACATATCTGACCACCATATGTTCAAGTTGGCTACTTGTATATCATGAGGCATATAAACATAATCAGCTGGATCTGTGATCAGTTTGAGAGGTAGTCATGTCACTAGGCTAGAGCATCTAAAGTCAGTACTGTTCAGATATATTAAAGAAATTGATTAGGCATTTCTCTTCTTCCCCACTGACTAAAGGTTCACAAATATTGATAAAAGTTTACATCTATTTCTGCTGGGAGGAAATTCATTGTCCTTATCTGCTCATCCCCCACCACAAAATCCTTTTGCCACACTTCTGCATTGAGGCTGGGAAAGTTGCTGTCTGCACAGAAAGTAATCAGGATTATTTTCTGGATAGTAATTAATTACCTGTCCCATTGCTTTCCCTTAGTACAGCCACTATAAATTCCTATTGCTGGCTTAGAGGGAGTCCTGTGTGCTCTTTATCCTAGATATCTGCTGTTCCAATCTTTGGACAACCAGCATTGCCAGAACATGCTGCTTAGAAGAGGTTGGACTGTCAAAAGAATTAGCTAGTTAGTCAGGGGAGCAGAATCAGCCTGCCTGGGAGGAATCATTATAGGAGGTTCCCAGCTTCTCTTCCAATCTTTAGTGGACAAGCCATATTCTTAAAGTACTACAACTGTCAGACAAATCTTAGCTAAGGGAAATCTGGTCCTTTAATTTTGGCTGTAGGTGTGACCTTAAAAAGAGTCATATTTGGTAAAAAAAAAAATAGCCAGAGATCCTGGCCAGATGGAAGGTGCAATCCTGCAACAGGCAGGTGGAAGGCTTGCAGAATGCCAACCTTCTGAAGAACCCTTCTCCAGATGGCACACAACATTCACCTAGGAGATTTCCCCCCCCCCTTGTTTTCCTATGGGAAAAACATTTTCCTACTAGATCACCATGATCTGACTTCAGTTTGCCTCAGGACCATGCTGGTACCAGATGGGATAACAATGGATAAATCTTCAATGATTTGAAAGTGGATTGTCTTGGGATGAAAGGAAGGAGGTTGTGTGGATGGGACTTTAGGAATTGTCTGAAAAATCTAGGATTTACTTTGCAACATATTTCAGATTCCATCAAATATTAAACAAAACAAGGTGAAAAAAATGTAAATGCAGTTGACTTGGGGCCTGAGGGCATGGAAAGAAAGACAACATGGTGGAGGGTGATAACCACTAGAAGATCTAGGAAGAAGAGCCTAGAGATGTTGTGGTTAATTTTGTACCAATGAGCAGATTCAGTATGATCCCATGTTCTTTTTCACATCAGTGTCCAAATATATATATATATTAATTTCTGCTTTTTTATTAACTTGAATAAATCAGGCTCAAAGATGCTGGAGAGAGTCTGTACTCCAGTGGTTTGAGTTCTAGTACTGCATGACAGGATGGGTTCCCATCATTTGCCTCGGCTTCTGCCGAACTTAGCAGTTCGAAAGCATACTACATGCAAGTAGATAAATTGGTACCACTTTGGTGGGAAAAATAATGGTGCTTCACGTGGAAGTACAAACTGGACTTGCCCGAATGCGAGCCCAAACGAGGGAAAAAGCCCCAGATGGTGCTGCAGAACGCTGTTAGCCATTCTCAGTGTTGAGCTAGTTCACCCCTTGTGGAGCACTCTGGATAGCACGTTAAGTATGAAGCAAACAGACTAGCAATCTTAGGTAGCCAAACAACCAGTGGTGGGATTCAGACAGTTCGTACCAGTTTGGTAGAACTGGTAGCTAATGTTTTATTGCCCAGGTCCAGAATGGACTTCGGGAAGTGGCATCCACACAGAGAACTGGTTGTTCACATATTTGAATTCCACCACTGCAAACAACTATTCTGTATTAACACTGTAATCTCCTGGATAATATACCATAACCATATGCTAACTAAATAAACTTGAATGATATAAAACAAAATGGGCCATTTCAAAGGTTTCTTTTGAACAGGTTTCTTTTCTTATGTGCTTCTTTCCATTATGGCTCAAGTACAATAGAAATGTCAGACATTAACATGCCACTTGGCAATAAAACATATATCTCAACTATACAGAACATGCTGAGCCGTTTACAGAAAAACTGCAGCGTGCAGAAGGATCCATGACAGAAGAATTCCAGTCTGTACCTCTAGTTGCAAGTGAGAGAAACTGGGGAAAAACAGTGAGATTATTAAAGGCTCCAAATTGAAACTTGAAGACGGACGTGGAGGAGAGCAGATTGAAAGTCAATGTTCCAAGTTTTTGGTGAAAGCATAACTAGAAAATTTCTCTACAATATTTCAATTTGTGGCTTAATTCACAGAACATTTTATTGTGTAAGAATGGACCCAGGGGCCATGTTATAAACTGGCCATCTCCAACCTGGTGCCCTCAGATATATTGGACAACAAGCAGCTTCCCCAAATTATCGTTTAAACTAAAGGACATCATGTTGGACAAGCCTGCTGTAGATTAAAGATAATTAAAGGATCATCTTCCTCTAACCATTACATCATTGGCTAGATTTCCTCACATTTCAATGATTATTACTGTTATGGCTACTACTTTATTTCCAGTTGTCTGTTCTTCTCATTCACTTTTGTTCTTGAATATTCCCAATTTTTATTTCTTCCTCTCCCCCGTCCCTGAACATCTCTCTCATGACCTAGCAATCTCTACAGTCCTTTTACCTTTAGGACATCATTAAATTATTCTAGCTGATGGCAGCACTTCCAAATTTCATGTAGGTGGAAGAGTGTTGAACCACTATTCAAAATTAAATCTCTATGGCAGCCCTAAGTGCTTAGAGTTTATTTATTAGTTTGCTCATTTCCCTGAATTGTCTAAAATACTTTCTACATAAGATAAACCTCAGTGTTCTTAATTGTCATCCTCTGAGTTAGCAAACAAAATACATGCACCATGTAAGTTTTGGGAGGAAGCATAACCAAACATATAGCCCTGAAATAAAAGCAACTATTTTCTTGTGATTTTGCACATTTCTTACTGTATGTCTGATATTCCCAAATTTAAGCCAACAGTTATCTTCTATACTTCAGTAACCAATACCACCCTCAAGCAGTGAAAAGCAGAATTAAATTTTCTGCCTCCAGGAAAATGAGAGTTCTTGGTTTCAATATTCCAGAAGGATAAGTAAAATTCAAACACTTGTGGTTTGTGGACATACTTGGAAGTGTACTTCACATTGAAACAACATAGGTTGGGGAAAAATACACAACTTGAGTTAATTATTACCCTCTAAAGGAACATGTTATTTTCGCACATGGTTTCTCAGTTCAAAATTCAGTTTGTTTTTTACTATCTGCTTTGATGATGGAAGATTACTTACTTATATATTACAATTGTTACATTATCCATCTCTAAGAAATTGGGGCAGCTTCTAAGCACATTAAAACATTTAATAGTTGAATTATCAATAATAAAAAAGGAGAACACACATTCTTTTTTTAAAAAAATGCACTGTACACGTCCTTTGCTATCCAGTGATTGCATGAATAGAAAAGGCCTATATTTTCAAGTGGTCCGAAGATACAAGCATAGTTGGGCTTTTACTGAAAGAAATCCTGTGTGCAGAGCAAACTCATTTAGAGAAAGTCGTTCAGTCTACTGTAGATGAGCATGATTTAACTATACTCAACTTCTTACTATGAAGCTACAGAAGCATCATGGATAGGCTCTAATATAGTAATGTTAGCACCTTCTATGGCACCCAGAAGTATACTATGTATTACTGGAGCATTGCTAGCAGAGAACAGGCAAGTGTTGTTGTTGTTGTTTTAAATCACCCTTCAAACTATTTCCATGGTGTCCTTTTCTTTCAGTTCAAAGCTAAGGCCGATGAGAGATTCAGAATGGAGATTTAAGCCCCAGCAAAAATGAAAGTATATTTAACTGGATGCAGTCTGCTTTCAAATGTACCAAGTCTTCCAATATTAAATTATCTCTCTAACAAATGTACAAATGCTTATCATATGGTGATCTACTAGAACTCTAAAAACCTCAAAATGGAGAAATAACAAAGCTTGATGATTGCTCTGAGTTCTTAGATTACATGTTTGCTCTGATTTAGGCTTAGTGTCTACAATAACCATAGAAATGAATATTTGAACTTAGAAAAAACAAACTGAACAAAAATCAGTGTGTAATTTAATTATGTAGGTGTCTGTACAGCAATAGACACTACAAGGTTGCCATTTTATGTAGAAGTGCTACTGGTGGTTTTAGAATCATTTCTAAAATGGTTATTGGGACTAATCCCAATAATTGTTCTGACCTGGGAGAAATTTTAGTAGAAGTGTTCCTCTTTTAACAACCACTTGTTTAGCAACTGCTTGTGGTTACAATGGTGCTGAATGAGGAGATATATGACTGGGTCCTTGTAGTCACATGATCATGATTTAAGTGCTTGATGGCTGGTTTGCAGTTACAATGGTCACAGTTTCCTCTGCCCATGTAACCACTATTTGTGACATTCACTGCCAGCATTCAACAAGCAAGGAAGCTTGCAGGACAAATGGTAATCATGTGATGTCATGCTTAATGACCACACAGGAGTCACTTAACAACAGCAACCAGAATTGCCATAACTGACATCATAAGTCAGCATGGTCAAGTAACATTGTGCTTAACAACTATGTTGCTTAGTGATGGAGTTGTTGGTCCCAATTATCGTAGGTAAGCAAGAACTATCTGTATAAGAATTTGTATATAGCATTTTTACATGTGATAAAAAGTAATCATGCTAAATTATCTGTTGATGGGTTTTTCATGTCATAATAAAATATGAAATAATATTAATTCATTCTATTTGGTACTGTAATATGCATCCTAAAATATAATTAAAAAATAGAAGGCCCAGAGGATTTTCCCAAGCCTGTTCAGTTAGAATTATTATAATTACATACTATTTGTGTGTGTCTTTTTTAAGCAGGTGCTATCTTATAACTGAAGTGACAGCTGAATATGATTATTCAAAGATGAATGAGATGAGGCTATTGGGAAAATCTGACATGAAAGAGAACTCTAGGTGTAGAGACAAGCTGTATAAGAATGGCTCTGAATGAGAGCTTTGGGGAAAACTGGCTTTGTGTGATAGATACAGATGAATTGATCTTGTAGCTTGAATCTCTGGCTCAAAATAGAAGCATCTTGACAAATATCACTGCGACCCCCAATACCTTAATGAAAGTTTTTCAATGAACATTCCCCCATTTTCTTTACCATGTGCTCTGAATAATACCAGGGCTTAGTTCCAATAGGTAATTGAACTTCACAAATGGCATATTTAGCTCACAGAAAAACTGGTCTGAGAACACACTGCAGACTTTTTTTGTTTTTGAAGAAAAATTCCATTTCCCTCTTTTGTTCTTGGCCTCAAAATCCAGGCTGTTCAAGCGTGCATTCAATTTTGCATGAAGGTTTTTATATATATATATATATATAGCTTGTCAGACTATAATGTAAAGTAGGTCAGTGTTCATTCAAAAAAAATCTATACAATTTATTTGACCGTGTGAGGGGAAAAAAAAGCTCCTTTTCAGTCTTTGTAAGCATGTTGTCCATTATGGCACTTAAAGCACTTAATCCAGGAGGCTCATCCATTGGGGAATGACGGATATTTTATGTAACAGTCTTTATTATACATGCCCACCTTTAGATAGGTAAGCAATCAGTGTTACAATCACTCCAACATATACTCCTGTGCCGATAGTAATTGAAAGTGCAGCAAGGAAGAGTGCTCGGCGAGAAGCTGAGCTTGCCTGGTGAAAGTCCCCCTTGGAGATGGCCTTGCTTGTCTGGAAATAAAAAAAAAACAGATTACTATATTGTATATTATTCACTGTAACTTGTTATAGTTAATAATAGCTGTTTTTCAGCAAGGGAGTCTTCTTGTCTACAGAAAATTAGTTCTGTCTGTGTCTGGATTGGATGAATAAAGCAATTTATGTAATTCTATTTTAGTCTTAGGTTGAAAACCAATATGAAGTTATGGTTATGACGTAGACCGGAGAGATTCAGGTTCAAATCACCATTCAGCCATAAACTTTATTGGATTAGCTTGAGTCAATCAATATAACTAAGCTCATAGGATTCCTGTGAAGATTTTCTTTTTCCGTTCATCTTATTTTTTAATATATAAATTGTACATCAATTGCAAGATAAATAAACATTTTGCAATCTATCTGTCAATCAATGTCACACATCTGTCCAAGGATTAAAGATTAAACTGGCTATGATTTCTGGGAGTGCTGACAGCTGTTTGCTGGCTGCATTGCCAAATAATATGGAATGTTAAATTTTTGCCTGTTCCAACAATTATCCATTCCATTATTAATGGTATGTTATTGCTTCTCACAAATATTTCCTTTGAAACAAATTGATTCAATGTCACCAAAATACACATTATAGCAATAGCACTTTAGACTTATATACCACTTTACAGCCCTCTCTAAACAGTTTGCAGAGTCAGCATATTGCCCCCAACAATCTGGGTCCTCATTTTACCGACCTTGGAAGGATGGAAGGCTGAGTCAACCTTGAGCCGATCAGGATTGAACTCCAGTACTGCATTCTAATCACTGCACCACCACGGCTTATGTTCATACAAGAAGCATAACTCAGCCAGCTTGTTAATGACAGTTCTAGCAGAACATTTATTAAATGTGTAGGCAAACCCAAGCATCCAGAAAAAAGAATGCCAACACTGAACCCGTAAGGGATCAACTAACCACTCATGTCCAAGAATCGGGGGAAGAATCAGGTTTTAAGGGCTCATTTGAATAGGCCTTGGGGAGGTATGCAAATCTCAGAGAGGGCATCATTTTAGAGAGCAGATGCTGCAGCCAAGAAGTCCACTTCCTGTATTTCATCTATTTTAATTGATGGAACCCAAGGCTTGCCACTGTTGCCTGATGGTACGAAGATGGTTTGAAACTACTGAAGACAGTCCTTCAAATAATCATTAGGCCAGAGGTGTCAAACTTGATTTCATTGAGGGCCACATCAACATTGTGGTTGCCTTTGAGGGGCTGAGAATGGCTAGGTGGGCATGGCCAACTATGTTGGCATGGTAGTCTTGATGTTGCTTGTGTCAGGGGTGCCTGTGGGGAGCTGGGTGGGGCTGAGGGGGTCTCCAGCAGAGGAGGATGGGACCAGGGCAGGCTTTATTGGCCAAGTGTTGTTGGACACATAAGGAATTTGTCTCCAATGCATAAGTTCTCAGTGTACATACAAACAACCAAGTAATATAATCATAAAATACCAACAGGAGAAGGCAATAGGAAAGATCACCAGGACCAGATGGATTACACCCCAAGGTTCTCAAGGAACTGGCAGATGTGATCTCAGAACCACTGAACTATATTTTTCAAGGATCCTGGAGCACTGGGGAACTACCAGAGCACTGGAAAAGAGCTGATGTAGTTCCCATCTTCAAAAAAGGGGGAAAAAAGGACCCAGGAAATTACAGACCTATCAGCCTGACCTCAATACCTGGGAAGATTCTGGAAAAGATAATCAAACAACAAATCAGCGAACACCTACAGGCAAACAAAGTCATTAATGAAAGCCAACACGGGTTTGTCAAAAACAGATCATGCCAGACAAATCTTATTGCATTCTTTGACCAAGTGACAAAATTAGTGGACCAGAGGAAAGCTGTGGATATAATTTACTTGGACTTCAATAAGGCATTTGACAAAGTAGATCACAATCTACTACTTGGTAAGATAGAAAAATGTGTGTTAGACAGCATCACCACCAGATGGACCCGTGGCTGGCTGACCGGCCATACTCAGCATGTGGTCCTCAATGGAACTGCATCTACATGGAGGGAAGTGTGTAGTGGGGTGCCCCAGGGCTCTGTTCTGGGCCCAGTGCTTTTCAACATCTTCATCAACGATCTGGACAAGGGATAGATGGGAAACTCATCAAATTTGCAGACGACACCAAGCTGGCAGGAATAGCCAACACTCCAGAAGACAGGCTTAGGATACAGGAGGATCTGGACAGACTTGAACACTGGGCGCTATCTAACAAAATGAAATTCAATGGTGAAAAAAATAAGGTTGTACATTTAGGCAAGAAAAACCAAATGTACAGGTATAGTATAAGGGGTACCTTGCTCAATAGTAGTAACTGTGAGAGGGATCTCAGAGTCCTAGTGGACAATCCTTTAAATATGAGCCAGCAGTGTGCTATAACTGCCAAAAAAGCCAACACAGTGCTAGGCTGCATTAACGGAGGGATAGAATCAAGATCATGTAAAATGTTAATACTACTTTACAATGCCTTGGTAAGGCCACACTTGGAATACTGCATCCAGTTTTGGTCACCATGATGTAAAAAAGATGTTGAGACTCTAGAAAGAGTACAGAGAAGAGCAACAAAGATGATTAGGGGACTGGAGGCTAAAACATATAAGGAACGGTTGCTGGAATTGGGTATGTCTAGTTTAACAAAGAGAAGGACGAGGGGGGACATGATAGCAGTGTTCCAGTATCTCAGGGGCTGCCACAAAGAAGAGGGAGTCAAGCTATTTTCCAAAGCGCCTGAAGGCAGGACAAGAAGCAACGGATGGAAACTAACCAAAGAGAGAAGCAACCTAGAACTAAGGAGAAACTTCCTGACAGTTAGAACAATTAACCAGTGGAACAACCTGCCTCCAGAAGCAGTGAATGCTCCAACACTGGAAGTTTTTAAGAAGAAACTGGACAGCCATTTGTCTGAAATGGTATAGGGTTTCCTGCCTGAGCAGGGGGGTTGGACTAGATGGCCTCCAAGGTCCCTTCCAACTTTATCATCATCATCATCATCATCATCATTATTATTATTATATGAGAAGGATAGTAGTAATACAGCCCTACTACATGGGTAAATATCCTTAGACATAAGACAGTGCTCTAATCTGTTTTGGCATGCAATGTCCTAAAGCAGCATCCTGAGGGGAGGAGTTGAAACAATTTATGTCCAGGATGTGAGGGTTCTGCAGGTATTTTCTGTTTTTTTTCTGGCTCACGCAGTATACAGGTCCTTAATGGAAGATAGGCTGGTTGCAATTGTTTTTTCTCCAGTCCTGTTGAAGTCTGTACCTGTCCTGTTTGATTGTTGTACCAAAACAGACAGTTATAGAAGTATAGATGACAGACTTAATAATTTGTCAATAGAACTGTATCAGCAGCTCCTGGGGCAGTCTGAGCTTTCTGATGTGATGGGGAAAAACATTCTTTGTTGTGCCTTTTTAATGATGGTTCTAATGTTAGGTGACCATTTCAAGTCCTCGGAGATTATAGAACTCAAAAACATGATACTGTGTGGTCTAATATTGTAAGAGATGGTAGAATAGGAGAACTCCTCCTAAAATCCACTATCATATCTACAGTTTTAACTGCATTCAGCTCCAAATTCTTCTGGCTGCACCACAGGGCCAGTTGTTCAACCTCCCATCTGTTTACAGATTCATCACCATCGCAAATGAGACTAATAACTCTTGTATCATCTGCAAACTTCAGTTCTTTAACAGAGGGATCCTCAGAGATGCAGTCATTAGTATAGAGAGAAAAGAGTAATGGAGAGAGCACAGAGACCTGGGGAGGGGGGTTGCCTGTGCTAATTGAACAGGTATTCGCTGTGATTTTACCTAGCTTCACCTGCTGCTTTCTATCTGTTAAAAAGCTTACAATCCACCTACAATTGTAGTCAGGCACAGCTAGCTGACTTAGTTAGAGAGAAAATTTTTGGGAATGATGATATTGAATCTGAGCTGAAGTCCACAAAAATGACCCTTGCGTAAGTCCTTGGAGATTCAAAATGTTGTAAAGTGTAGTGCAGTGCCATATTAACAGCCTTACAGTCCAGTATGGGTGCAATTGGCAGGTGGCAGAATCCATGTCACGTTTAGTAAATTTTCCACATAGGAGGTCTTCTGCTGGGATAGAAAGAAAGAACTATTTCTATATCAGAACTTGGGCTGGTATGGATGATCTTAAAGTCTATCCTCTTCGTGGTTTAAGTAGCTGCTAACTAAATGTTGTGTCTTACATCTTCTTTTGCTAATTGGTCATTGTAAATATTATTTGGTATTTTAGGTGAGAGATATACTGTATGGGCCTCGGGGAATCAGGCAGAGTGAGTGAGACATGTCACATTGATGGAGAGAGCTGGGAAAATACCAATTAGGCTCAAAACAAAGAAGGAATACTGACTTTATGTCTAATTTTGACTATCATTAGCTCTTAGGAAACAAGTACACATTTCTTTACTCCTGATTCTCTTTCCTTGTAACTATTGGGTTGCAGTGTTAAAAGACTCTACCAGTAGGCTCTTTTACTGTTTCTCTCTAATGCGGGGGTCCCCAACCTGTGGGCCATGGCCCACTACTGGGCTGTGGCCTATTTGCAACCGGGCTGTGTGAGTGGTGGGCTCATGCACACACATATAACCCTTCACATGAGTGGTAGACACGCCTGCCCACCACTCACACAAATGAACCTGTGTGTGTGTGTGTGCGCCTGCCCCTTGCACAAATATCTTTTTTCCCCCCTTGCCTGGCTGCCAACCCGGAAAGGTTGGGGAACCCTGCTGGATTTGTGTGTATGTGAATGCCTATGCATGTGAATTGGGACCAGATTCTGCTTCTTATAGATCAGTGTTTCCCAAACTTGACAATTTTAAGGCATGAGGACTTCAACTCCCAGAATTCCACAGCCAGCGAGGTCTCTCATTTAGAGGTCCCACTGATGGAAAGAAGGAGGTGATCCTGAAAGATTCTCTTCTCCTGTTTCTAAAACTGATCTCTCAAAGGTTAGAAAAGTGGGGAAGGTAATACTGGGGACTAAAAAGGGGAAAAAGAGTTAAGAAAAGTGGCTTTCTTCCTCTCTGCTTTTTTCAGTTCTTGGTACCTTTCTGAATGAGCTCTCCATCCAGACAATATGACAGCAATGCAAAAGAATTAGCATTCAGTCTATTGCTTTTTGAAATGATTGTTGTATAGTTTAATGTTGTATTATAACTTGTTTTCAAATTACACATTATATAACAAAAATCCTATGTATAAAGTTAAACTGGACCTTAGTATACGCTATATTTAAATACTTTGAAATACAATGCTTACGGGTAATGCTTACAGATAATTCCTGTATTTATATATTATTATTTCTTAGACTTTGATTTCTCCAGGGTAATCTGGCAGCATAATTTGGTAGACATCAATTATCGTTAGTATGTAAAAAATAACCTGCACATTGCAAATGTTTTAGAGCAGGGGTGTCAAACTCGCCACGTCATGTGATGTGCTGCGATGTATCGTGACTCTTTTTGCATTGCCGACAATGGGGTGGGTGCAGCTTCGGTATGCTGAAACCGGCCTGCGGGCTGGCAGTTTGACACCCCTGTTTTAGACAGCCAGTTTGGTCTAGTGGTGAAGGCAATTAGAAGCAAGAAGACTGAGTCTTAATCCCGCCTTAGGCACGAAAGCCAATTGGGTTACTTTGGGCCAATCACCATCTCAACCCACAATGTCAGGTTCAAGATGGCAAGCTGCAGTCAATTCCTGTCACAACCAATAGATCAACACTTGATTTGAAAAAAGCAGACCCTCTACTTGCGAGAAAATGCTAGGAAGAAGATATTGCAAATGTTTTAAACTGCTTTTATTTCCTTCTGCAAAATTATCATATAGCAGAAAAGTAATTGTTATAATTCTGGAGTCCCTCCATTTGATAGCCAACAGTGCTGATATACTTACAGATACTTCCCTTGGTGCTCACAGAGTAGCAGTTCTTATTTTTACATTTTTAAAAAAGTAAACAGGTATGCTTGCTTCTTATCATCTTCATTTCTGATAGTATCTTTGGGCCCCAAAAGGTCTCTTTATATTTTTTTGGAAAATAAAATTGCTTACTGATTGCATTCCTATGCTTTGCCGAGGTGTGCACATTCTGACTCTAACAAAAGCAAAGGAAGCAGGAATAGCAGGGTATGTTTTGCAGGAATGAAGCTGATGCTACTAAATCTGCTACTAAATTAGCAGATCAGGACCAGCACCATTAGCAGCCATTGTTTGAAGTTCTCAGAACAAGCTCTCTAAATTTTAAGCCCAGCTCCCCAAAATTGAAGACAACAAGTATATTCCCTGTGGACATCAGTCAAGTATTTTGTAAGTATCAGAAAGGAAATTACTTTTTAAATTGAAAACAATAAAGATAGTGGTAGTTAAAAAGAAATAGACAAACTATTTAAGCTCTCCAGTTAAAAAGATATACTGTAAGTGTACTTGTTAACAATCAGTCTTGGAATCTTTTAAAAAACTACGAAACGGGAAGTTCCTACTAAAATCTGTGAATGGTACCAAGCCTCTTAAGTACTGGATATTAAATAAAATGGAATAAAGTAATGTTACAGGTAGTCCTTGGTTAACAATAGTAATTGGGAGAAAAATTTCTATTGCTCAGCAATGCAGTTTGTAATGCACTATGTCATATGACTACGTAGCTTAATGATGGCAATCCCTGCAGTCGTTAAGTGAGGATTGTGGGTGGTTAAGCGAGGACCTCCTTGCAACTTCGTGCTGGCTTTCAACAACCAAGTAGGAAGCCAGCAGGAAATTGCAAGTTGCAGGTACCTTGCAAGCAGGCTGGCAGGCAGATGAGAACCTGTTGCCAAGTGGGGGAAGGGGTTGTGTGATATTGAAAGCACCCTAGAGCCACAATGTAGCATGAAGCTCAGAGTTGAGCACCTCCCATGCCTGACCATGATGGTGAGCCCAGTAGACAGTAGTCGGGAAAAGATGAGGAGTGGGGGGGGGCAGCAGGGTGTGTGGATGTAAATACAGGTTGGCTCAATTTTTTATTACGGGACCATGGGGACACTGCAATGGTAAAAAGTTCAAGGTTTAGTTACAACTCCATTTTTTCAGCATTGCTATAAATTCAAATTATTGCTAAGCAAGGACTACCTACATATTGATTGATTAATTGATTTATATCCCATACAAAATATTTTTACAAGACAGTGAATATATCCAACACATCTTCTTCCTATTTTCCTCACAACAATAAGCACTGCAAGGTGGGTTGGGCTGGGAAAAAGTGACTGGCTCAAGTCACCTAGCTGGCCTTCATGGCTAAAGTGGAACCTGAACTCATGATCTCTTTCTAGCCTGCTGCCTTAACCACTAGACCAAACTGGCTCTCATATTGCTTATTTATTGCTTCTTTATCACTTATTCAAGCACTTTCTATCCTTCTATTTTAAATATTAGATATTTCCTGTATTTTTATTATCATGTTTGAGATGAAGAGGAAAAATGTTTTATTAAAGGACAATCACCATCTGATTGCTAAGTTGCTATATGTTTACATCAGCTTTATGCAATTCTTCAAAGTTTGTTTATAGTTTTGGATACAGAAATATTGATACTCTATGTAGGTTAGCAGTTTTTCATTGCCTGCCTTCAATTTTAAATGGGTGTTTTCTTATGAAAGGCTTGCCATGGAATTTTATTGCTGTGCTACCAAATTACTTGCTACCAAATTACTCCTGATACCAAATATTATTTTCAGGAGTGGTGGTTTGCTATGAGCAAGATAATTATATGAAAAGGTGTATTAGTTCTAACAGTATACTATTATAAAGTTCAGTTTTATCATGGTGGTCCTATGGTAAAAAGTTCTTTTGGTATTGCATTAAAAAAAAAAGTCAAATTTTTTGGTTTGATTTTGTTTTGAACACGCTGAACAAATTATTCAGAATTCCTTTAATACAATATAGTGGTTATCTAGACTAGAGCAGGCATCCCCAACCCACGGGGTTTAGCACACTACCAGGATGCGGCCTGTTTGAAACCAGGCTGCGTGAGCGATAGGCAAGTGTGCTCACGTGCGAAGCTCCACCAGTGCGAGTGGTGGGTCCTCACACTCACTCCATTCGTGTAAATGGAGGGCAGCTGTGCTTACCTAGGAAGCTCCACTTGCGTGAGCGGAGGACACTCTTACGCTAAGCTTCATTTATAGGAATGGAGTTTCGTGTGTGAGGACCCTCTGCTCACGCGAGTGGAACTTCGCACACGAGCACCTTCCTCTCATGCGAATGGAACTCCATTCGCCCACCACTCACACCTGCCAGTCACACCAATGGAGCTGTGTGTGCACCTGTGCACCTGTCACTCACATGCCTCCCCCATGCTGGGTTGGCCGCCAAGGTGGAGAGGTTGGGGACTGCTGATCTAGAGGGCTTCCAGCTTACATTAAAATGGGGATGGACTACGTGCGGTCCTCAGTGTAGGTTTATGCAGTTCTAGCCTCATTTAAATAAATTTTTGCTAGCTATTTCAGTTTCTGGTAATGGAGATCCACCCTTCTTTTTTGCCAGGCAGGGAAGAAAAGAGAGTGAGAAAGATCCATGCATGGGTATGCTTGAGAAAAAGAGGAAAGTAGGTTTAGTGACCTTTGGTTCCTGCCCTGTCTGCTATTGATTTCAGGTCTTTTCCTCACCTGCGTGTAACTCAGCGAAGTTATTCCTGAGCATGGGTCTCATGAAGAGGCATCATGACATTATGACAGACATCCTGCCTCTTAAGTATTTACATGCAACATCAGAAAGCAAGTAAGAAAGAATGGAGTTTGGGTCACGATACATATTAAATCTTTTTGATCTCAGAGAGGTTAGATGCAGATGCTAATGCTTTTCAGGATATAAAGCTGATAGCAGGAAAAATATTTCTTAAAAAAAAACAGATGATAAATCCTGATAAATCCTACTTGTTTATGAAATTAGATCCAAGCAGAAATCTACTGCAAAACAGAGAAGTCTAATATTTCTCTCTTGTTCCTACACAGACATTATCATTACTCAGAAGAAGAAGACTATCTGAGCTGTCTACAGAGCCAAGTCAGATGGAAGTAATATTAGAGCAATTATTTAATATATATATATTGTTCACCAGCATAAGTAGCAATATTGTGGGTTTTTTTCCTGTCTTTCTTTGACTCTAGCTTTTTTTTTTAAAAGAAAAAATCTATACAGGGAACATCTTACATCTCAGGAAAATCCCAAGTAATTTTAGATTAGGTTTACTACTATGAAATGGTTATGGTAAAACGAGTAGTTAGACCTGGCATCGTTCATATATGAAGGCATTTAGTAAGCCAAGACTAGTTTACATATAAGCATATATTAGTAGATGTAAATTCTTACCCCTTGAGAAAAACAGAAGGCAGCAATTCCCAGGGGCCAAAAACAGCAGAGCATTGAGAAAATGGCCAAGCCTAGGTGGTCTCGTGGAGGAAGCATCAGAAAATTATCTTCACTTTCGCTGTCGCTTGAAGAGTCACTCTAGAAAGTAAATTAATTTGAGAACAGTGACCATTAGCGAACTGTAAGCTTGCCCCATAAAGCATCCCGCAGGACTACAATCCAAACACTATGCATGTTTAATGTTGTTGTCTTGACAACATGCAGCATTTCTCCTGAGACCTGGTAAGCAAATAATTTTCACCTGGCAAAAAAACTTCCCAAATGAGGAATGTAGTATAGTCTCAATATTGTGTTTATTTGGGTGGATTAGGTAGATATGCCAGACTCTTCTAGACAGGTGCAATAATCATAATAAAAGAGATCAAGATCTGAAAATCAATAGTTGAAAGATTATGGCACAAATTGGCCATGGTGGTCATCAGCACACTGGGTGCCATGCCAAAAAAATCTTATATGGCACTTAGAACACCTGTGCATTGACAAAATTTCCATCAGTCAATTGCAAAAGGTGATACTGCTTAGATCCACATATATACTGTGCTGGTTCATTGTGATACTGAAGATTCTTGGGAAGAATTCAGTGCATATGAAGGCTTATACCAGCTAAACAACTGGCAGATGGGATTTCACATTTTTTAATATATAAGAATAATAAAAGATATGCACCAGGAAAGAACATATAAAGCAGAACCAAAACATTCCAGACAAAAACGTACAGGAGCTCACCTACCACCCTGTCCTAAGGCCTGGGAAAATAGCCAAGTTTTCAGTGCTTAATGGAACATCTTCTGCATGAGAGTCATATTCCAGAGGGCAGGTGTTGCAACAGAGAAGGCAGTAAGTCCTGCCCAAACTCAAGGAACAGAGTCAACCTCCAGGCTCCAGGATTCTTACCTGCCACATAACTGACTAATATGAATAATCCACTAAGAAAAGAGATCTAAAAGATGATATTTGGTACAGTCTGGTGTACCTCTTAAAAATGAAAATACCTGACATTGCTAGGGAAGCAATTATGCTATCAATAGGCTGACTGAGAAATTTCTCATTGGCGTCAGTCCATAACTTAGTTTGAATGTCCAACAGTATTTTATAGATTTATGGTAGGATTTCATTCAGACAATAGTAGACTAATGATTTTGAACAATTAAAGGTAATCCTCAACTTATAACTCTAACTGAGCCCAGAATTATGGTCATAAGTGGTGGAAGTTATTAAATGAGGCACCCACATGATCACCTCACTGAATGACCATAATACTGATTTTCCCCATTGGGTTGTTAAGCGATTGCATGAGTTGTTAAATGGAGCACAGGGTGTCTTAGTGGGTGGGGAAGATTCTGGGACATATGGTGTAGGCCTGCACTGTGACATCTCCAAAGCTCACACATGGCCTGTCCCAGGCCTCCCTGGACCTCCCCCACCATCTGAGGCACCGCTCGCACAGCTTTCCATACTGCAGAGTCCCACACCCTTGGGCCTCACCCTACTTGTTCCACTTAGTTTTCCAAAGATCACCTTTTCCAATGAGAAGCAGCTGATCCACTATGTGGCTTTCCTGTACAAAGTTCGCCTGTTGCCCTCCTGTAGTGGCTATTTCCAAAATGACACCTACCTTTGGGATGGCACCATGTAGCTTCCATATGGGAAGACCATATGATGATTTGGCTACTTCTCTTTCTAAAAGGCTACATAGCAGACTGACCTGCTGTCCTTGGGAAAGATGATTTTTGGAAGAGTAAATAAAGTGAGGCAAGTTGGGGGAGGGAGGAGGCCCAGGTGTGGAACCCAGAGAGGTGGGAAGCAGGCCTAAAGCCTGTGAGGGCCCAGCAGAGTGGGAGTTAGGACCAAAGGACCCAGTTGGGCAAGATGGGCAGAGAGAGATAGGCAGTGGGATAACTGCAGGGTCCCTATGGTTGGTCATAAGGATAGGCAAATTGCCAAGCACCTAAGTTTTATTCATGTGACCACTAGAACATTGCAGCGATCATAACTTAGGGTACAGGTGGTAAATCCCTTTGTTCAGGGCTGTTGTAATTTCAAAAGGTCACTGAACGAATGGTCATAAGTTGAGGACTATCTGTAATACATAATTTTTTAGTTTTATGCTGTGTTGATCTATTAAATCTTATTTAAGGGTGAAGTAGGCAAACCAGACCCCCCTGTGACTACAATTGCCAAAAATGGGTGCAAGTTTCATCAGTTCGAGAAAAGAGTCACATGAAAATTGTTGTGAAAACCCTGAACAATGCTTATCTTAATTAAAATATAATAATACAGGAAAAGGCCCAAACCTTCCCCTGAATTTAAAGCAAAACAAGCAGAAACATCTGGCCATTGTTTTTTTCCAATGGAAAGAATATATGTAGCACTGACAATGATACCTACAGTAGATGGATAATGAAACATCTGCAAGCAAACAACCAAGCTCATGAGCACTAAAGACTCCACACTATGTCTTTATTTACTATATATTTATACTACCATATCCACAAAGACTCATGGAAGTGCACAATTAAAGTTGAAAACCAAAACACAATGAAGTAATAAGCTGAATAAAATAAGTAAAAGTTATAAAATCTCAGCAGGAAGTTTTCAGAGGAAGGCTGCTTCAAAGTGTGATCCTGGTAGAGAAAAACATCAATTCCTTACTGTTTCCCAAATTCTCTGTCTGGTTAGAATCCAATGTAGTAGACAGTGCTGCAGGTATCTGATGCCAAACCATATAGGGTTTTATTAATCAAACTAGGACTGTAAATTGTTTTCACAAATCTAGACCAACCAGTGCAATATCTGCAATGAAGGTGCTGTGTAAAAATTCCAGGCTTTTATTTGCTAACACACGGACTCCTTTTTCTGCTGCATCTTCCAGCAGTTGCCTGCTTCTCTCATCCCATAACAAAGAGAAATATCTTTGGGCTCAACCTCCTGGTCCTGCCAACCTCCCAAATCCTCGCTTATCCATCTACATCTTTTGATTCTCTTGGACAGGGTGAACATTTTGCAAAAAACTCACAACCCACTTAGACCATCCTTTTCCCTACTCACACAAGCATCCATATCACTCTCATGTCTCACTTCTCATTCTTTTCATTAATAAAAATCTTTTCAAAGGCTCATCCTCCCACTCTACTTTCACTGGAGCTGACCAAGATTGATTTCTCTACCTCCCACTTCTTTTACTTGTGAGGAGATGCTTTTTTCTTGCCCAGTCTCTAAAACTGTGCAGCATCAAGCCACCAATATGTCCTTTCCCCTCCCTATAACATTAAATTATCACTCACATAACTAGCCAAGTGGTGCTTTTTCTAGTCTTCTATAACAATAGCAGCTAAAAGCATAAAATGTATCTGTAGGTAAACAAGTAATCAGAATACAAAACTAATCCAGTGATAATGATGGTGTATAAATAAGGGGAAAAATAATTTAATATTATATCAGGAGCAAAGATACTTAATATGTATGTCTTCAAATAATTTATTTCAATTTTTATGGGCTATTTTAAGAATCCCATGATTTGAGCAAACGTCCGGCCTCTAGGAAAATAAAAAAGGAAGGTAATGTTAGCAGCTTGAGTTGTACTATATTAGAGGTTTTTTGTTGCTTTATAGCTTAGTGTCAAATATATGGGTTAGCAAAAAGTTCAGCTTCTTTCATCTGAACTTGCTTTCCAATTATTCGTACTTAGTGTCACAATCCTTTGTTATTAAATAACTCTGTGTGAACTAGTAACACAGAAAATTACAATGATAATAATAGCGATGATCATGGTAATAGCAATGCAGAAACAATGTTAGAATAGCACTCACTGCAATCAGCTTCCACCCTTGGTGTAAAGCAGTTGGCATCCTATTGATTTTTCTTTTTTCCCACTGAAACCTGCTTTTTCTGAATTACCTTGCTATAATATTTCCAGGACATCTATTATTACCTTGGCATTTAAGTACAGTAGCATTTTCAACCTTCTAGTTTTCCTTTTATGAAGTATTTGACAGTCCTTCCCTCCATATTTTCATTTGACCTTCTTTCCAGCTGCATTTTCATACACTTCCCCCCCCCCTTTTTAATACTCTAGTTTCACACTGGGAGGAAAAATGGATGTTATAATTTCCGTAAGCCATATCCTCTCATTTCCCCTTAGTTGGGGACAATATGCTAACATTAAAAGTTCTTGAATTAAAACATATTTTTGTTTTTTCTCTCAAGCTGAATTCTTAGTTTATTAGTTGGGGATTTGGGATTTCACTGGAAAATTATTTTCCCTTAGTATTGGTAAAATTGAACCATTTTTCATATTTAAGTACGTTCCTCATTTAGATTCTAAAGTCCTAAGCTACTAACAATTTATCTTAGCCCTGTTATTCTTAATTAATTATGCTTTAATTTCTAATTCTCTGAATTAAAGAAAGATGTCTCTTGGGTAGAAACAGTTATTACGTTATATATAATATCCATGTTGTCTATTATTATTGTTTGTAAATTAAACATTTAGAATTGTTATTTAAAAATTAGTCCCAAAATGTGTACTCAGAAGTTTCTGAATGTACATTATCAGTGTATCCTTAGAAATTTACCTCATATTCCTGCAATTCCTCTTCCTCTACATCATAGGATACTGTTTGGATTTTGATATCATTTTCCATTAGAGATCTTCCCTGTGCTTCTTGCTCATCAGAAACATCAGCAGATGGGTCTTTGCTTTCCATGAAGGTTGTCTCACAATTGTCACCTTTGTTGTCCTTGACTTTGACACTGCTTTCATCCTTCACCAGAATGAAATTTGGACCATACAGTGCTTCAACAGCTAGTTGGAGAGAACTGGCATCCAACAACTGGTGTGTCCTTGCATTACCTGAATTTTGGAAGATATAGGAATATAATTTGCCATGGCAATGATGACTGTGATAATCCTGGTGATAAGTACAGTTACCATGAAGGTGTCCATTGCTCTTGGCCAACAGTGGATTCTGAAGTTCACTCACACTTTCCATTTTCCTTAAAAAATCAGTGGCAGATGCTTCTGAGATAAATTAGTGTCCTGAAAGAAAACAAACAAAAGGCCAATGATGCATAAATTGTAGAAATGAATTAAAAAATTCAGCAATGAATATATCTATACTAAAAAGAATTCCGTATTAGTGGAAATCCAAGGACTGCAGCCATATCAGATGGGTTCTAGCTTATACTTGTCCCTTAGCACTTGAGCAATGACCTTTAGAGAAAAATTGAGGAAACTCTCTTTCTAAAATAAACATCAGCCTTCCTTTCTTTGTTCATGTTCAAAAGTACAGTATTACTAAAGAGAATAAAATACAGAAGAACAAATAATGATGTAAGGAAATCAAGCTGGCTTTCACAGAGAAAAATCATGTCACACTAAACCTTTTGCTTTTTTGAATGTCAGTGTAGACATGGATGATCAAAGAGTTAAATGCTTAGAATTTTCAGAAAGCCTTGGACAAATCCCAAGTGTCATGGGTTACCATAGATTTGCATCTGGTTAAAAAAGAGAAAACAGAAATAAATGGGCACTTTTCAGATGAGATTGTATGTTTTCTCATAAAATTATGTTGTGGCTTGTTAAATTTATATATATATATATATATATATATATATATATATATATATATATATATATATATATATATATATTGAAATCAATAAATAGTCGAACACCAAGAGAATAAAATTATAAAAATGCTAAAATTTTATTTACTAAACCTAGCTTTCGTCAAGAGCTCTTGACATCATCAGGGTGTAAACTGGTGCATAATCTCTCCTCTACAAGGTTAACCCACTCACAACTCTCCCTGCTGCAATGCGATATAGGACATAACCTCACAGATGCCCACTTGCTGGATTTCATAGCAGCATTAGAACCTGCTATACATCGTGGGGAAATAGGGGAGGACTCCAGGAATCACATAAAACAACAGGTCATTGGGCTTCTCATGCACCATAGGTGGCATCGGATGTTATCCAGGGAAGAGACAGAGGCCCTAGAGCAGCTTAAGAACAATAGCTCTATAGTTGTATTACCAGCAGATAAAGGGAGGGCCACGGTGGTACTGGATAAGGCAGTCTATGTGACCAAAGCACTGGAACGGCCTATAAGGTCGTTAAGAGAGACCCCATGATAACAATGAAGAATGAGATCAACAAATTATTAGACAACCTCAAGTGCACCAAAAGAATAGATGATGACACCTTGAAGAAAATACGTCCCAATGATTCAGCACTTCCTAGGTTCTATGGACTGCCTAAGGTTCATAAGGAAGGTACCCCACTTTGCCCCATTGTTTCTTTCAAGGGCACACCAACTTTATGGGAATACTCAATTCGATTTATCCGGATATTAGGTTTACGGTGGAGGAGAGCCGGGGCTCGATAGCCTTCTTAGATGTACTTGTCCAGCGAACATCAGAGGGCTCAGTGCGTACGAAGGTCTATCGTAAGCCCACCCACATGGATCGAAGTGGCTTAGTGGATGTATCTCCTATTTAGTGAATGGCAACTCTACAGTAGTTAAATCCTCAGAGGAGTTTCTAGAAAGAATTAAGGCACTCAAGGTGGAGGAGGATGAGGTGATGGTCTCATTTGACATCACCTCACTTTCACCTCCATCCCCCGTGACCTGGCTGTTACTGTTCTGAGGAATCAGTTAAAGAGAAAAGAAGAGACTCAACCTCGAGACTCCCTGAGAGTAGAGGCCCTAGTGAAACTTATAGAGATGTGCTTGGTCACGTATTTCACTTTTCAAGGTGTCACATACGAGCAGATAAAGGGCACGCCCATGGGCTCTCCTATATCCAGTGTGATAGCAGAGGAAGTTCTCCAGCAACTGGAACGTGAGGCTATGTCCCAGTACCAGCCCAAATTTTGGGCTTGGTACGTAGACAACACGTTTGTCATCATCAAACGATGCCAAAAAGCCAACTTTATGGGAATACTCAATTCGATTTATCCGGATATTAGGTTTACGGTGGAGGAGAGCTGGGGCTCGATAGCCTTCTTAGATGTACTTGTCCAGCGAACATCAGAGGGCTCAGTGCGTACGAAGGTCTATCGTAAGCCCACTCACACAGATCGAATCCTCCACTATAACAGCAACCACCTAGTATCCCATAAGGTTGGCTGCATCAAAACGCTGTTTAAGCGTGTACATACGCATTGCAGCATGGTGGAGGCAAAGGAGGAAGAGAGGAGATATTTGTACCAAATTTGCCAACTCAATGGATATCCACTATGATTTATAAGACACCATAGTAGCATACCTAGACCCTGACATGACCACCAGGAAAAACTCCCCCAAGGACAAGTAACACGCATCTCCCTACCATATATTCACAACATGTCCGAAGCCACAGCCAGATTGTTGGCCCCCCATGGCATAAGAGTGGCACATAAACCTGACCAGACTCTGCAATCAAAGATCATGCACCCCAAAGACCCGCTTCCCAACGCAGAAAGGTCTGCGGTGGTGTGTAAAATTGACTGCATGGATTGCCACAGCAATTATGTGGGGGAAACATCGAAAAGATTGAAGATCCGCCTACATGAACATAAGTTGGCAATCAAGAGGGGTGAACAATATTTGCAGATCTGGTCACATATGGCCGAAAGTGGCCATAACTTTTGACTTTGACCACACACAAATCTTGGCCAGTGATGCCACGAAGGGGGGCCGCTTACTAAAGGAGGCCTGGTTTTCGGGGGAAAATTCCATTAACCGCCATATAGACATGTGCCCAGCACAATGGACACTATAAACATGGCACATGAATCGCCGCTTGAACCATTGGAAAAGATCTAAGCACCGATTGCATGTGTGGGAGGAGAACAGGGCATCTTCCACACAGCATGGCCAAACGGACATCCTTTCAGTGTCGGATCAAGGCAGTAGGACCTTGAATAACTCCCCACGAATGACAAGTATTTACCAGAAACCCGGCCATCGACAACGGAGCAATTCCCCGACGAATGGAGCGAGTGGAGGTGTTTTGACAACTGAATTACATCAGGAAAGAGAGGGCAAGCCCCCCTCCCAACCAGCGCAGTAGGAGAACGAAAGATCATGAAACGGATCACCGCTGACACATCTATAGTGAACTCCACTCAGAGACGTGGGGGGAGAGGCAGCATACAAACGGAGACAATAACCGTGAAAAGAGGGGGGAGAGTAGAGAACACGGCATGGGATAGAATGCCCAGATCACGATCATGCATGCCGAGGGGAATGGTTTATCCCCCGATGAATGAAATGGACATTTGCGCGATGTCAGTTGGACCGGGTTGCGAGAGAGAGAACAGTTTCATGCTGATTGATCCATCAGGGGAGCAGAGAACTACGGACGGAGCGCGCCTGAAGGCACAACGGAGAGATCCTCCGACGAAGGATGAGGACGGAAGCCCTAAAAGGGGTGAACAACGGACCGGCCAGTTACGAGCTAGGCGACGGTGTACTGACATGTGCACACTCCGGGGCGATTCCCCCCAAGAATATAGGGGGGAGAGTGATGATAGACTCAAGGGGGTGATGGAAAGGAACAGGAGGGAGAGTAGTACAGAATGGGATGGCATACGTGGAGTGCAATCACAGAGGATAGGAGGATTAGAGCGTGGCTCGGATGGGTTGATTGGAGGAACTAGGAGGAAGCAGGAAACAGCGTGCACACCCCTTAACAGACAGAATTGAGAACGAGAAACCAGTGAAACACCCACCAATTATAAAGAAAGGGGAAATACTCCAGCTAACCCTAGAACTAGCAAGAGAGATACGCGCAACAGAACACGTAGAAGGAGTGAGAAAGAACTACACCCCAATGCAGGACATATACTTAGATTACAGCGCACACAGCTGGGACCCATGACACGATCCAAGAGCCGAGCGCAAATGATTGGAGGCTGCATATAAGCCCTCCCAACGACTGCCGTTTACACCCTGATGATGTTAAGAGCTCTTGATGATGATTCACGAATTTTAATCAACAAAATCTCTAATGTTAAAACAAACAACAACGGAGACAGAGGACACCCCTGTCTTGTACCCTTTTCAATTTGAAAAACCTCTGATAAACCTCCATTAATTATAAGTTGCGCTGATTGTTTTTGATAAATACTTCTAAAAGCTTGCAAATTTTTTTCCCCAAAATTCATTTCTTCAACCAACCTCAACATAAATTGCCAATTTAACTGATCAAAAGCTTTTTCCGCATCTAAAAATAAAATAAAATAAAGGGAATAATGATTAATAAGGGAGAATATAAATTAAGAGCTTTTGCAGATGATTTGGTTGTTACTTTGTCTCAACCAACTGATTCAGTAATAGAGTTGTTGCAGATTATAAATCAGTATGGGCAAGTTTCTGGTTTTAAAGTTAATAAAAATAAGACTAAAATTTTAACAAAAAATATGTCTAATTCGGATAAGGAAATGTTAGTTAATTTGACAGGTTTTGAAATTGTAAAAAAGGTAAAATATTTAGGGGTTTATATAACTGTTTCTAATGCAAAACTTTATAAAAATAATTATGAAATGTTATGGCTTAAAGTGCAGAAGGATTTGAATGACTGGAAAAAATTGCAACTATCTTTGTTAGGGAGAATTGCTGCAGTTAAAATGAATCTTCTGCCAAAATTTCTTTTTCTGTTTCAAATGATACCTATTTTAAAGAAAGAGGCAAATCTAGAAGAATGGCAGAAGGGTATTAACAGATTCATTTGGTCTGGGAAAAAACCAAGAGTTAAGCTTAAAATTATTCAAGATGTTCGAGAGAGAGGTGGACTCAAGGTGCCGAATTTAAAATTGTATTATGATGCAGTGGTTTTGACTTTGATTAGTGATTGGGTTAACTTAACAAACTTAGATATACTTTTTTTGGAAGGATGGGATTTATTATTTGGATGGCATGTGTATTTAATTTATAATAAAAAGGTGGATAGGGTTTTTAAATCCCATGTTTTAAGAATTGCTTTACTGCGTGTCTGGAAGAAATATTATAGGTTAAATTCTAGAATACCACTGTGGGGAATTCCTGGG